AGCTTTCTTTGCTTGTATATCGGTGATGAAAAACAAAAGTGTAAATGTGTTAGAATTTTTGCCTAAATTACTCAGCAATGTCTTGCAGGAAGTTCTCTCCGTCCATTATCGATTTATTTAGATCAGAATAGGTCTTGAGTCGTGTACATGTGCTGCTAAATTGGCTATCTGTCTGTTGTTGGCCCATAATATATTCGGTAAAGGTATGGGAAAAAAGTAGATACAGTTGTGTCAAAATATGTTGACAAAATTTGTTGTCAAATTATGAAAACCAGCCTTAAGCCAGTCACAACCAAAACATATCCAACTTTTTAAGCTTTCTATAGATTTTCTATGAACAGCACGTGTGCCTTAAAATATGCAAAAATTAAGCTGAAGGGCACGACAATATGAAGTGGTAGCAAGAGGGTCAAGTAATGTTCCTTTGTAGAATTTTTATAGTTTAGATCACACCTGTTATTTATTTATAGATTTCCCGGCGACTGAAATTTTGTGTAGCAATTTCTAAAATACCGCTGCTGAGCGCCATATTTAAATTTTTTTGTTGCGATGTTGTTTCGTGAGTATGGTAGGTACATACTTATTTAATAAATTTTTAAAATATGCTACAGATATGTTTAAAAAACTTGTGTAAATAAAATATTAATAATGAAATATATAAAAAATAATTAGTTTTGATTTTTTTTTTGTAATACGTACATGATTAATGGGCATAGCTCTTAGATTAGAAATATTTCGTACATTTTTTATGTTTTTTTTTTATGTATTTATGCGTTAAATATTACACGCTTTAGTTGCAAGTGGTACACTAGTACAGTAAAATTCATATAAACAAACGTAGAAAAGCGAAAAAATATTTTAAATAAAAGGTAAGAAAATGTATGTACGTATGTGTAGTTAAAAAGTAATATTTACGAACAATTCGTATCTTTGGTATAGGTGTGAACAATTTATATATAGATAGGTAAATCGAAATGAGAGAAAAAAAATATTACAAGAAAACTGAAATTATGAAAAGGCAAATAGATACATAATTGCAGTACGCATGTACTATAACGTCACACTGTTAAAGGTCCGAAGAGATGTTTTTTTTTTTTGGAAAATATGTTTTTTATCAGTGTATGAAAGTAACCGTCAATATCAAGATTTTAATTTTTAGATCATACGTTTTATTTTCTCGATCAAGAATAATCGTTAAATTTGCATTTTTATTTGTTTTGACAAATTTAATCTTTATTTTGTAATTTTTATTTTTTTCGATAATTTTAACGGTTAAATGGAAATTGCGTTTTTATTACCAATTGAAATCTATAATAAATAACGATCAAAAATAAAAATCTCAAATAACGATAAAAAATGTATCTAAAAAATTAAAATCAAAAAATAAAGGTCAAGTTTGATCGGAAAACTAGAAATCCAATTTTAACGATTAAATTATGATTTTTATTATAACGACGAATGAGTCTAAAACTGTCTGCACTTCGAGTACTTTTTCTTAGAAGATCCCAGCGATCGACCCTTTTTCGCTTTGAACTGAAAAAAAAAACTTTTATATGCTGCTAAAATTTGATACTAGGACATTCGATTGCAATATTATTGAACATTTTATTGCCCGCCGAAATAGCCGGATTTAATTATACTGAAATAGTAACCGAATTTGTAAACTAAGCAAAGAAACTTGCTACAAAGTAAGTACAAAGCGGCAGTTATTTAACTTAACTTTCGAAAAACATTTACTAGATGCATACCACTAGCTTAAGAGTGAAAAGTTGGTAGTCCACTGTCTTTCACTCTAAGTAACGATATGTTTTAACCGGTACAATGGTAAAAGTGTGGAGCCGTCTTAAGCGAATAGTAATTTTTGAACAGTTCAAAGTGCAATGAGAGGACTAAATATCATTCTTTAAAAAAGCTAGAGAATCAGGATATCTCAAATAAGCCAGAAATACGAACTTTAGAAACATAAACTTAGTTAAATATGTTTTACCACCACTGTACAAAAATTAGCTTTAGGTTGTAAAGCAAAAATTAAGGATGAAATGCAAAAAAAAAAAAAATATTCTACATACATACATACTTAAATAGCAAACATTTTTGTATATTACGCGCATGCGCATATGCCATATTTTGATGTTTCTTCTCTCTTTGATCCAATCGAGTTACTGTGTTCTTTGCTTTTGTGGTTGCTAAATGAATACAGCGAAATGGGTTTAGGTATGGCTACGTGTAATCTTGGCCAATAGAGGGTATTGATTGGAATAAATGAAACTTAAAAAATCTTATTCGAAAACATTCGAAAGTGAAAACAATTTGGTAAGGTTTTGCTATCGGAAATATAAAATTTATTAAACTTTATGACTTCTGTGAAAATATTTCGGAAAAATATGAAGATTTGCCTGCGCTGGACCTATTTGAAAATTCCATCAACAATAGAATTTTTTGAAATAAAATTTGTTTTTAAAAATAGACTTCTTAAAAAATCACCAGATGATAGAAGAGTTTAAGCTTAAAAGATCTGCATTAAAATTTTTAGAAAAATTTATCAACGGAATCAAGAAACTTAGATTTTTGGAGGTATTTTCAAATCGGTTCAGGTCACGTAAATCTTAATTTTTTTCGAAATATTTCAGCGCAAGTCTGAATGAAAATATAATAAATTTTATAGTTCCGGTGGAAAACGGAAACTTTTTTGGTGATGCACCCTAATGTAAATATGTACATGCATATCAAATGTATCAAACTCACTAATAAGGAAAGCCCATGAAAATTAAAATAAAAAAAAATATATAAACCAATGTTAGTTGCAAAAAGTTCGTAGGTTCTTCGCATAAAATTTGAATTACTGTTATTATTTAATGCAAGTAAGTAGTATAGGTAAGTGTAGAAATTCAAGAGGAGGTTTGATTTTAAAGGCATTGCAGCAGAGAATATGTCTATGTAGGGAAGTATGTTATTCACTAAATTTCTATGTATTTCCGTTGTTGACTTTAACTTATTCAATAAGCACTCGTATAAGTTTCTACAATACTAAAGCTAATTATTGGAATTTTTTCTTCAATTTCACATATATTTTGTTACTAATTTTCACTACTTTTGAATTCTAATAGTTTCTCAAATTCAATACTCGCATGTACGAGTACTATACAAATACATTGGCTCACAAAATTTTACTAAATTTCTTGATTTTACATACAACATTGTATTTGTTTTTTTTTTGTTCCGATATATACTAATTAAGTAATTCGTTTAGTGTGAGGGCAGGAATAACAACACTTTTCATTGTTTTATTTTGCGGTTTTTTCCTTAAATTTTGGTAATGCACATTACTTATTATTGCTTTACTATTTGCATGCAATAACTACAATATACATATACATATACTAAGCATTTTTAGACTTCGTAAAAATTTTACAATTATTTATTTTGAGTACAACGGCGTGCAAGATGAAACAAGGGAGGTTAGATGTCATTGAAATAATAATAAAGAAAAAGAAAAACATCGAATCCAAGATTTGAGCAAATGTTGTCGCAAAACTACTGGAAAATATGTTTTTAAAACCAAATTACATTGAAAATGAAATGGCCAGTGCAAATGTGTGCTTCGATTTTTTTGCAATTGCAAGATTTCCAGAAAAACTTCTGAGATCCATGATTTTGCATGAATACATACGTTATTTTAATTGATAGAGGCCTTAACCAACACTTTTCTCGAAACTGCGTTCTTCACATATTTTGGTAGGATATATTAAAATACACCATCAATAAAAATTTTAAAGCGTTAGTACCAAAAACAACATAGTTACATGCCACTTTTAAAAAGCCCTTCCCGGTTTTTGATACTCTTTTTTTGTTTTTTGCTTCTCTTGAAAAATATTTAGACTACTACTTCTTATTGCAGTTTCAAGTCAATGGATATGGTGTTTTGCTTCCAATTTCCTGCATCTTCACACCTTAACCCTACATGAGAAGATTGTCAAAACTTATTTATATTTAAAAAATATATATGTATACTCAACATTCAACTCCCTCTAGTGGATTTCCGAAATGTCAATGCAATAGGTATAGGTGTATGTATGTATGCATAATAATAATAATATTAAAATCATGAAATGCATAAAAGTGTTAGTATCTAAATATAAATTATTTATGCCCAATCAGCCGTAATATGATTTGGGGTCATTTATTAGTAAAAAGAATTAAAGTGTAAAAGCTATGAAGATGTTGAATAAATCTTTATCTGAACATCCATACAGCAAGACTAACTTGTAACAAATGAACAAAGATCTTTTAAAAATAAATGTATAGTTTTAAAATACATATATTTCACTATCCTGTGGAATATTATCACCGACACAAAAATTTTCTAAAGAAATGGCGTCAAAATCTGCATTGATGCGTCGCAAGACAAAAATAAAGAATCATATTCTCATCTATGTTAAGCAAAGTGGTAATTAATGCACACTTGGCTACACTTTTAAGCCTCAAATTATTTGAATAATGCAGAAATAGCCGTTGTAGCGCACTATTGGGAAAAGTTGACGCAACTTTCGCACACTAACAATGGCCATATTGAAACTGAAATCGCACTGGGACTCTTCGGTACATTTGCTCGATGCACACACAAACACTAGAAACATTAAAAATGTTAAAAATTTTGCTCGAACTTGGTTTCCCTTTAGGACGCATGCATTCATTGGGCAACAACCTAGACTAAGAGAAGAAATTTCAAAAACATCGATAAACTCGTATTATTTTTTCAAAAAATAGTCGTTTTTTTTAGTTAATTTATGCACTTACACTGAGTATTACTCACAACACACATAAAGTGAAATCAATGAACTTAAAATGAAATTTAAAAAAATATTAAATCAAGCAAGAATAATTTAACGATGCAATAATTATATACGTTTAAACTATTTTAGAGCATCCTTAATTACTTGCTCACTTAACAGCTACATCAATGTTATATTTATGGTTTCATATTATTACTATAATTAAACTCATTTGTGCTTGCCAAAAGAAATAAAACAGAGGGTAATAGAGATAGCAGTTAAGTGTTAAAGATATTGTGAATTGAGTGTCATGGAAGAAGCTACCTTCTGCAGCAGCTGTTCTGGTCGCTCAGTCAAGATCGCGCTAATCAGCAAATACATATATACACTCACTACTCTAATATTTTGATATTATAATCTATTGATTGTATTGCCTACATTGCGCGTATTTACTTATTCAACTTTCTTTTCAAACATCGCATCCATAATTTCTTTAGTGTACTAACACTAAAATAACAAAATTTACCATTATTTGAATGTTGTAAACTTCTTAAAGAGTTTCTAGCTTAATTTCGTTTAACAATACAGACAAAAAATACTTGCTAATATTGGCATTTGTTGTACGCAACTCGATAATTGCTTGCGCTGGTCGGCACTCGTACTCGTATGTATGTGTAAAAATTTCGATTTTAAGTCCCCTGTTCGATTCTTCGATTTCCATCATCACGTTGCTCAGACCACCATGTGCGGCGCTACTGCTCAGTCGTAAATGAAATTCGCCGAATCACAAAGTGCATCGCTATCGTCACCGAATTTTCCATTCATTGTGTAACTGGACCCAGCGCCATAGACCCATTCCTTTTTAATAAAATCTCCATCGGTAGTGGACGATGATGTCTGGTGCAAGGGTCCCAATGAGCTGTGGTCAAGGCGAAAATCATCATCATCGTCCGGATACAATTGCACAGGAATGGTGTCGGGTATGGAATGCGGATCAAATAGATTTCCATATGGCGGCAGCGAGTGATTTAAATCGACATGATGATCAACCAAGTCGCTGTCAAAGTTCGACATGCGGAATTTCGAACTTGGCGGCGAGTGTGGCGAATGAGGCGCTGCGGAATCCTCAAACATTACCTCTTCTTTGATGAGCATTTCATTCGAATTATCACCCGAACCTGAAGAATACAGATTCGGTTCAACTTTGATAATGGCTGTTGTGGCCAAGGACGGGGAGGATTTCTCATCGTCGTCGTCATCGTCAAAATGCTGACCATTCACACGCAATGATCGATGATGAGAACGAGCCGAATCAACAAAATCGTCCAAGTCGTCATCGTCATCATCGTCCAAATGCGCCGGATGTCGACGTCGGTGGCTATTCTGGTGATTTCGGTGGTTATTATTGCGCTGTAATGCACGGTGGTGGCTGCTCGATGAAGAAATCGATGAATTGAATTGAGACTGATGGTTGCGCGTGCTTCGTATAGTCGAAGTGCCAATAGCGGCAGATGCGAGCGAGAGCGGTGCCCCAGATTTGGATACTACCACTGACGAGGAACATGATGTCGACGAAGATGAAGGCGTTGGCGAGGGAGAGGTGCCTGCAAAAAAAACAAAAACATTTAAAATATGGGCATTAATAATGACCGATGAAAAATGTGCTATGCATAAAAGAGTTGATGTTCAGAAATCAATGTGTGAAAAACTTTCGTACGAATTTTTCGCCTTTTAGTATCGACATCTTCATAGACGTATTATTTCGAGTTTTCAAAAGTATTTGCTATAAAAAGTTGAATCTTACCGGCTTGTTGCACCACGCTCGCCAAAGCAGAGGAGAGTGTGCCCGCGCCACCTGTAGAATGTATTATTGGCGTCTTTCGCAACAATTGTTGTTGCAATGTATTACTATTGCAGCTTGTATTACTGCTCTGTATTACGTGAGTTTGATGCTGCGACTGTGGTTGTGACAGTCCAACGTTTTGTTCGTTCTGCATGTAATTCTTGATTACAATGGTACGGGTGGGTGTACCCAAAAGTGGTTGTTGCTGCAATTGTTGTTGCTTTAGTTCATGCGATGCATCCGATGATTCATTCGAAGAGTCCTCAACGGTGGTTGTCTGCAAGTTGTGACTGGCAGAAGCCAGTGAAGAAGTGGAAACAATACGACTGTTATTGCCGTCAGCAACACCCTGTATGCTATCGCTCATTCCCGAGTTGTCATCGTCCAAATCTTCAAGCAATTGTTTTTGCAAATGGCGCTGCATTCCACTGGTACTCGGTCCATCATCGCTCGATTTGGGTTCAACTTTGACAATAGTGGCATTCGTGGACGATGACGCTGCCGTTGCATTGTTGGCCGCGTTTTTATCATATTTTATTGTATTTGAAACTTGTGAGGTCTGATCACGCTGATGCACTTGCATATGTGTCTGTAAGGAGGACTGTGTATGCAACTTTTTCTTACACACTTTACATTCGAACGGAAAATCACCGGTGTGGGTGCGAGCGTGTATCTTCAAATTGTAACGCTGTCCAAAGCCTTTGCCACAGACGTCGCATCTGAAATATGAAATCAAATAGATATTATTAAAATTAAAGAAAGCTATAGGAAATCATTTTCGTCGTTACTCACTTGTGCAATTTAACGCCTGAATGTAATTTGGAGTGGCCACGCAGTGACGCCAAAGCGCTAAATACTTTTCCACAAATCTCGCATGTTAAATTCACATTTTCATTGTGAATCTTTTTGTGCACTTTAAAATACTCGAAACTCATAAATTCTTTGTGACACACATCGCATTTATATTTGTGGCGTTCGGACTGCTGACCCGTATGTACACGCATGTGTTTGATGAAATTGGGCCTAAAACGTACAACACGTCCACATATCTGACATTCGTACGGCTTGCAGCGCAGACAATGTTTCTCATAGTTTTTGAGCGACTTTAGAACCATATTGCATATAGCACATTTCATATTGTTTGCGTGACCCGATCGGTGAATGTCAAATAGTTCCTTGGACTCAAATTCTTCTACACACTCAAGACATTGATAGGTTAATGGATTGTTGTTGGTGGTCGTGTTTTTATTCCCACTACCATTTGACGTCGAGTGGGAAGCATTACTTTTAACTGCTGATGACGCAGCAGCAGCAGTATTTTTAGCTACCACTGTGGAAGACGCTAAATGGCCAGAAGATGATAATGGTGATGACGATGATGTTGAGGGAGATGAAGATTGTGTTGAGACTGGTGTTAACGCTGGCATTATTGCGGGCGGTGGTGTGGCTACAGCTACTTCTGCGCTTCCAGCTGTAGCTGTTGGAATTGATGGCACCGTTGCCGGCGCTGATGTACTAGATGTCACCACTGTCATTGGTGTTCCAGTGGTAGAAACAGGAGTTGCCTGCAAAATGAGCTGTGTAGGACCACTGCCCGGTACACCTTGTTGCACCACATTCAAAACAGTCATTGGACTGCGACTTATTACAGCCGGCATGCGCACAAATGTTGCACCGGTCATACCGCCCATAGTATTACTGATATATACAGGCCGGCGTTGCAAATGAGCCAATGCCTCCGAGACTGGCACCGTTAGAGTGCGACCTGTTGTTGTACCTACTATTGAGCCGGCCGGCAATACTATTTGCTGTGTCTGCCCGCCAGTTAGCTGTGAATGGTGTGCCGTGATTGTAGGTGTACTTATATAATTTATACCAGTCCTAATAAACTCTTGTTCGACATTTTCTTCTTGCTCCATTTTAATATCAGTATGTTGGAGTTGCATTTGATTATCTTCAGCTTCAGATGCTTGCTCCTCTTCTTCAATGTCTTGTAAATTTTCATCATTTAACTCGGGATCCGCTTCTTCTTCTTTAACCATATTTGGAGCCTGCGTTGTTTGTATTATAATACGACGGCCATTCAGAAGATGATGTTGCGCCATTGTCTGTGCTGACGCAATAGTCGCAGCAGCGTTGCTGACTACATGGGCTCTTGGAAAATCGGAAGCGCTTGTTACTATTATATTCGGTGGGTTTTGTATTTTAATGGTAGGGTTCGTATTGCGGCTATTAGTGGTTTCTATCGTCGCAGCACCATCATCCCCCATATGATCGTGAACATCATCTTCGTCATGCTCCATGGGAGCTTCTTGCAATATAAATTCGATTTGTTGCGAAAGAGCGCTATCGTTCATAGCTATTAAACCATCCAAGTCCTTTCCACTAACCAATGAGCCGCCGCCGTTATGATCACTGACAAAGAGAGAAGGCAAAGTATTGCCCACGACACCACTACGAGAAGTTGTGCTGCCGGACCCATTTGCGGCACTACTGGCCATTTCCATTCCTTTGTCAAATTGTACTTTATAATTGCTGCGCTTTCTATTGAAAACGAAGTTTGATTTTTATAGTTAATTATTTTGCAAATATTACTGCCAAGTGCTATCACAGTCACCAACCGCACACTCATTAACTTCCTTTAGTGCGTCTCTTAATATTCTCGTTAATCAGTGAAGAGTTTCTAATAGCTCTCAGCCTCCACGCTGAAATTTTTTAATGTCCCGCATTTTCACATCATTTTATTACGTTTCGTTTTTTTCTTTCCGACTTTCGCGCACTCTATTCACCTTCGCCGTTTGCTCTTGGTTATTCTTAAATTCCACTTCCACTTGTGCTTCTACTACTACGGTCCGCTTCTGCGTTTATTGATTTCCTTTTTGTTTGAGATTTTGTGCGGTCTCCGCGCGTGTGTGCGTATGATTGTGTGCGCGTGTGGGAAATTTTGTAGCAAATTACATTTCATACACAATTTAAAAAACTCTTAAATCTTCATTAATTCACAACGTAATTTTTCATTTATTTGCATTTACTACACTTATCACTTTTATAGCTTATTTTTAAATGAGCAGTTTTTGGAGAATTGAAAATTTTCCGTCCGCTTTACTTTTCACTGCGTTTTTTCCGTCCTCTTTGCATTGTTCTGTTGAAATTTGCACTGCGCCCCCTCAACGAGATTGCGTCTTCGTTTTATGTTCGCTTATCAAATTTTTCTTTCTCCTTTTCGCAGAACACAGGTTTGCATTTTCAAGTTCTAAGGGTTTACGTTTAAAAATGGCTAATTTATTTAGGCAAAATTTTTTGCTTATAAAATAAATGTCATCCTTGCGTAAGCCTTTTATAAATACTTAAGGTAATATATATTGTTTTATTCTAAAATCAACGTAATTTTAGCAAAAAAAAAGGCACATCCCTAAAATAATTTTGGAAATTTGTACGCTTTTACATCGAGTTCGTTATTTCGTTTTGCCTTACTTAAAGTGCGATTAAACGTGGCAATACAAGCACTTTTTCTACGCACTTTGCTGTCAAAATGCGAAAGCGCGCAACTTCGATTGGTTTGTCCAAAGGGACAGAGGTGTTATCTGAGCGGCCTTTAGGGGGCATGCACAGAGATGTCGTGGGGTGTAGTGGGGTGTCTCCGCATGCCGGGCGTTCGTTGGGCTCATCTGCATCTAATCTGCTCAGATAAAAGTTGAACCTGCTGCAGAAGCGAAGTTGGGCTATTGTGGTGCGTCTCCCGAGGCAAATTAACCTGGGTTTCGTCCACGTCAGGTGGTTGTGTTCCCAAAACTGCATTTATAGGTCGGTAGTCAGTTTAGGTCAATTCTGACTCTGTGAATGCCGTTTATAGCCAGTCGGTATGCTTTATGAACCTCTGGACTTCGTTGTTGTTGTAGCGGCTTATTTAGCAAACTAGCTACCGCATCTCTCGCGAGATAGTTCGCCGCCTCGTTACCCTCAATTCCCTTATGACCAAGTCCCCACGCTGTCTGGATGTTATTGTGTTTGTCAAGGAATTTGAGCTTCTCAATGTACTCAATTATCAAGCATGAATTGATTTCATGGCTGTCAGAATTATGATCTCACAGTACCCTATGTTATGATTAACCACACAAAGGTAGATAACGTAAACCTTCCGCTTTAAAAGATGCGCAAATCCGAAGATTCCGCCCCCTATGCATCTGGGGTCTTCAAGTCGTCTGTGTACTAAAGCAGGGCGCCACCTTGAAGGAATGCGGAGATGCTCCAGGCTGAACTGCGGCATAAAAGCCTGATTATGGCAACTTAACTTAATTTAACGGAACGTAGAACTTAGAGAATCAAAATGAAACAGCTTTCGACATGGCATTAAGTTACGTTAAGTTTCGGCTGTTCAATTATAAGCAACACCCATTTAACAGAATTTTTAAGAGAGCCGCAAGTTACGTTAAGTTGCCATAATAAGACCATAACTCTACTTATCACCTTACATGGATTTAGATTGTATACTTTATTAAGAGGGTGCTAAGGTTGGTATTCTAAACTTATATTATTAATGCACGGCTGCACTGGGGATGAGCTTGTTATTTCTTTCAATTCCTTTTATACTAATGTACTTTTTGTTTTTAAAAACCAGTGAAGCAGATACTACCAAGGTGTATTAAACAATGTGTGATTGACAACTCAGGTAGGCTCTCTTTTAAGGTACTATTATGCCAAAAAATAAAACCAATCGATTCAAAATTCAAAAACATTTTTTTCAATTTGACTTTAATAGGATGGTTCTTCTGAGAGCAATGTCAAATTCAATCACACTTGAATACATTTTGGATACTACTAAGTAAAAAAAAAATTGCTTTGGCAACCCGTTGTTAATTTTCACATTTCTCACTTTTTACTTTTCGCTTACTTAATTTTCCTTTTCTATTCTTATTCGCTTCACCGCAATCGCTTTATTAGCGCCTCTTTTCGACTGCTTTGGACATATTCGTTCAACCCTTCCTTACATTCCTCATTCCCTTTTAAAACAAATTTTGTTCCTTTCTTCGTTTTCAAGCTTTTCGGTCCTTTTGCGTTTTTCCTAATTGCCCATCATAAATCACATTTTTATTTTTCTTTTTTAACCACTTTACTGGCATTTAATTGCATTGCACATATTACGTTCTTGACCGCCAAATTGCAATTCACCGCTTTACGTAGTTTTTCAACAAATTGTCACTAGACTTTTTTATTTACAATTAAAAATTTTCACAGCGATCGCCTAATTGTCCGTTCTTGCTTTCCCTAGTCCGACGTGCCCACAGTGCTGCCATATGAATGTGTTTAATGAAATAAAAAGTCGATTAAAAAGCTAATATCGATAAAATTTCTTCCGCCATCTTTGGACAAACAATAGTTGTCTTTCTTGGTTTAAAATATATTTACATGTGTATAAAAATAATCTCAACAAAGCGATCACCCCGTTTAAACAGACAAATCTGCTATATTATGCATTGGGGCATAAGTAAAGAATACGCACCGGTTCGATAGAGACCATGATAGAGACAAACGAAAAATGTCGTTTAATAGAGTTTTAAACATGATAAAAACATTACAAAGTAAAATCATTGAGAGGCAGTCTGACGTTTGCTAGCAATATAACTTTAAAATCCGAACTGAAGCTCACACACACATTCTCATTTTTAATCCCAAACAACATCAATTGTGAACAATTTAATTTTTTTATTTTCAATTTTAAAAAAATCATGGCCGACGAATTGAGAGAATGATTTTTTTGCGGAAATATAAATTGTGGAAGATATCTAGGGTTAAATAATAAACTTTGGATTTCGAAAAATGTTAAAGCCTATTAACCGTTTGGACAATTAAGCACAACGTTGCAAAGGTATTTTAAACATCTTTCGTTTGGTATACATATTGTGAATTTGTGTTTGAGATTTGTGGAAAAAAGAGACTATATAAAAAAAATTATTTTTATGGGTTCTTTTTTAATCTTCATTAACATAGTCCATAAATATATTTTCTAAAATGTATATTTGATTTCCTTTTAATTGATGTACCATATGACTTCTTCATCTTTGCATATTACTGTATATTTTTCTTTTTACTTTATCTCGACTGACCAATTCCGACGATTTTGTTACAGCATTACTTTATAATTTATTTTAACTAAGTTTCTGTGATTTGTGTGGAAAGGTGTTCGCTACAAAAGGTGTTCAGTACGCCTTCTTCCGCAACACAGGAAGGAGAATTCTACTTAGAGAGGATTATAATTCCTAAGTCGACGTTCAGACACGAAAACTTTTATTGCTGTAACTCGAAGCTTGTAGGGGAGAGAGCGACGAGGAAAGGGGACGGGTACCGAGTCGCCCGTACTCGGGAAACACGCTTTGTGCTCTCGTTCGTCTGAGTAATTCAAGTTGGCGATTCACAGCTGACAACAACAATTGCGTACAAAAGAGTTTCTGTGTGTGAATGCAAAGGGCAACACTAAAAGAGAAATCGCCGATAATAAGAAAGTCGAGTTTCCGTCATGATNAAAATTTCGTAGTGGGCGGACGTAAACATGTCTTCATCGGATGACGATTTTTTGCTACTTGCCACTAAAATCTTTATCTTCCGCGAACTTGCTCATTTTACATATCACAACAAACTAACACACTAATGCTTGTCAACGCTTTGCGCCACTATCAAACAGACCGCTTGTCAAGCGGTCGCGTTGATGGAAAATCAAAAATTTTTGATTTTCCATCAACGCGAGCCGACAACAAGTACGTGTGACACGACGATCTCCGATCGCCTCGGTTGCTGGGGTAACCATCAACGGATGCTTGAAATCGCCGACGAGCTTAATGGCAACTTTAGAACGTTCTGACTTAAGGTGCGGTTAAACGTGGCAATGCAAACGCTTTTTCTACGCGTTTTGCTTTCAAAATGCGAAATCGAAAGTCTACTTTCCTNACAGTCGATTTTTGTATTTTTGTCCACCTTCGCGGCACTGTGTGGCGTCGAGATTTCGGCAGCTAGAAAATAACTTTTTTCCCGTGTTTGAACGCAGACTAAGCTCCGAAGGCAACACAGAAAGGAGAATTTTTGTTTACTTTCACATTTGGTATTAGTCCTCTTCTTCGCATNTTGCTTTCAAAATGCGAAATCGAAAGTCTACTTTCCTGTGTAAACAGCCAGAAAGTCCTTTTTGCAGATTTGCAGAAATCACTTTCGGAAATAAAAGTGGGAAATTGTAGCTGCAACTGAAATTATGCAAATCCCCTTGTAGAAATAATTTCTTCACTAGTAAAGTGCTTCATGCACACATAGCACGATTTGGTGTTTAATGCATCTCCTCGCCAGCAGAACTGCTTCCAACTTTTCGCCAGATTTGCGTGCGTAGGAAACCAAAAAAAACTTATAACGCACGCTTTCCTTTTGTTTTCACTCTTACACTTTGCCACGGCATACTTCCTTTTGCTTTGTAATGTTTCAATAATTGTTTAAAACTACGCAGAAATATTAACGCACATATATTAAAATTGTTATTTGGGTTTTTCGTATGCTCACAATCAACAATTGCACCAAGATGACGTCACGCACACAGCCCACGACACACAGCCGATTCTGTCAAAATCACAAAGAGCGGATTTGATGTACCGCGATTGGCGCAATCTCTGTTTCTCTCAGTCGTGGAACCATATCTTTATCAGGATCATATCGTTGTTGTTGCATTTGCGTGCAAATTTTTATCCGCATCCAGATCTTTACCCAAGAGAACATAACTAATATATTCGCACATGGAAGCGTCTTTTTCTCTGCTATTAAACAACAGGTGCCGCACCAAACTACTGTTTGAAGGCCTTCGACCAGATTTTAGGAGTCTCATAATAACATCACAGATGGCGTCGTTGTGTACATTTTTTTGTCCGGAAATGTTTACCAGCACAGTTCCACACCGTTCACGGCCTTTTTTGCATGAAATTTATTGCCAGCTCGTTTCTATATTGCAAAAAGTTAAATTAAATTTTTTAGGACTCTGAAAAATATTAAAAGAGCATGCGCTTAATACGTGATTCGTTCGTAATTCACTTTTTTCTTCGTATTTGGCCCACTTATGTACTTCGTCATGTTGGCAAATCGGCAATAATCGATGATTTCTATGACATTATCGAATTAACGTTGCAGTATTCAAAATCTAACTTGGAACCGATAACTTTACCTGAACAAAAATCAACAAACTCAAAACTGGTTACCGACAATGTCATGACTAATTTGAGTCTGATTTACTTAAAAAAATAAACGCTAATAACAATTCCTCTAACCTTTAGAACCCGATAAATTGTTTACCGATTATTGGATGTCAATGGCCACCCAGCTGATCAATCGATAATTATTTCGTACATTTCTTGCAACCTGCCAAACCGTATTGGCCGTCTTCAAATTGCCCAGCACTCGTTGTTTTGTTGTTGCGGTGAGAGGTTGATTCGCATTGAAACGTTGACGACGGTAGTGAAACGGCAACGTCGCGCCCAGACATTTTCGCTTGAATATTTGTAAAGTGCAAAAAGAAAGTGTTTAATAGCCAAGTGGCAGGTCCAATTTTTGAATGCTGCTGCTTTAAAATAATAGTGCATCGCTTAGAAAAGCTATAATAAAATTTGTGCGTTTCCATCAAATTGTAAACTCTGCGCAAAGCTTTTATGTTTTATGTGCTCCACAAGAAAAGAACAACATTTTGTTGTTGTCTGTAGCACAAAGCTGCAGTGTGTTTGTTGGTCGAGTGTGCGATTATAGCGAGAGCTCGGGAAATTTGTGTAAATCGATCCCAATTGGAGAAAATTGTAGAGAAAGGATTAAGTAAATAAAATTCTTTCCATCGGAAAAAGGCAAGTAACAAATATAAATTGGACGATACTTTGTGAAAATTAAAAGAAAAACAACTGCAAAATATAGAACGCCAATAAAAAAGGAATGTAAAAAATTGCTCATTTTGTTGCTTATGTTGTTGGTACAATTGCGACGGATAGCCCTTCTCGCTGCCACAATTTGCCAGCAACTCTTAATTCTCTACACCAAATGAAAAATTGCCTTCGCGAAGGCAAAAGTAAAAAAAGGTAAAGCAAAAGGTGAGAAAACCATAAGCTGAAGGAAAAGTGTGTGTGGAAGTATTAAAATGTGTTGAAAAGTCTAAACACAATGCAAGAGCAGAAAGAAAACGAATAGCGAATATTAAAAGCCAATCGAAGGCCAATATTACAAAATTTTGTAAAGTGTTTGGGATGGAAAAAGGCCACTTGAAATTATTTAAACAAGTTGTTTAGTGTTTCGAATTCGTTGTTGTGAAAAAATATAAACAGAAATAGCGCAGGGAAATTGGTTACGAAGTGAAAAAAATAAAATCAAAATAAAAGTCAAAAAATAGCGAGAGAGTAAGAGCGCGCGTGCTTGGGCAGAGAACTGCTGCATGCGCGAATGTGCGCTTCATTTTTTCTTATTGGAAAAACAGATGAAGTGTGAAGAAGAAGAAAAATAACATAAGCAAAACAACACTATGCAACATGTATGCAATTTATTTAGTATTTTGATTGGTAGTGCGTCATTTTAATTGCCTTGCAAACCAATGTTCCCGAAATCTTAACGAAATATTTAGAAGTATCTCATTTCTGTAACGATTTTTTATACGAATCTTCAAGGAAAACTATATGTATGAAGGTGTTGACACGAACTTGTAAAAATAAAGAAAATTCTGAAAAAATTCTGCCAGAAATTCTTCACATAGCAGCATTATTCTTGTTGCTTTCCCGATTTCCTCCCGAAATTTCGTAAAAGAATTCGGCAAAAAATTTTATGAGATCTTTACGAACTCTTTAAAAAGTTCTATACAAATCAGAATACTCTGAAAAAATGGCTTGCAGGGTGTTGAGATGTTGAAATATTTATTTTGTTATTTGCTTTTGTATGTATGTGTATGTATAGCAAGAGAATAAAAAAAAAAATGGTCAGGCGCCCACGGCCAGAGCAATTTGCGCGTTGAAGCATTGTATTGATATTCATACATACATATGTACATACGTATGTACGTACATACATATTTACCCGCTTATTTATGTAAATAAATCTGTCAAATCTGTGGTGGGATTAAACAATTTTGGCAGTGTCTTTTTCGCTACAAATAACGTGTCATGATTTAGACTGTATTTCTTCTTTGAGAGAAAATAAACTGCACGCAGTTTGGCATTAAAATTTAGTAAAATTTTCCTTTCTAGCCATTCTGATTTTCTTGTTATCGATTTTCTTGATCGTTGCTAGCACATGCAATAATATGTTCATATTTTTAGTATTTGCGCGCAGTTATATTGAAAACAAATAATAACAAACAAATAAGCATAAAAAAGGCGAAAATAAATACGACTCATTGGGAACACCTTCAGCAATAGCAGCAGCAGCAAGACAATATGTCGACAACTTCGTCCGTTGAAACGCCTACATCCCCCAGCGCTCCATTGGCACCCCATCAGTCACGTCAGCATCAACAACAACATCAACCTCAACAACATCAATATCATCCGCATCAGCATACGACCACAGCTATTGTTGTCAACGCTGGCGCCGGCGCTAGCCATCATCACACCAATTCGGGCAACACTCAATTTACTCAATTTAGCCGTCATCGCACCCATTCATCTTCGTCCTCGTCGAATAATTCCTTTACTGGCGTCACTGGTGTTACCTCGATGAAGTCAGGCACAGCTGGAGCTAACACTAATAACGGTAACGGCAATGGCACTAGTAATGGTAATAGCAACGACGGCAACTGCAGTGGTAGCGGCAGTGGAACTGGATATGGCTATGGCAGTGGCAGTGGCAACAATCACAATCAATCGACTCACTCACTACTAACCCCATCATCATCGACATCCTCATCGCCTTCAGTGGTGTCGGCCTCGGCCTCCACTTCGGCTGCTGTACATCATTCGCATCAACAATATTCACATCCGTACCAGCAACAACAACAACCACAACCACAACACAATCATCATCATCATCAATATAACCAACTGCAGCAGCATCCACATCCACATCCACATCAGCAACAGCAACAATACTCTTCATATTCACAACGTGGCGTTGCAAGGCCATCAACGTCATTCTCGACCCCTGACGGCACTGTAACCGCTGTGGCCACCATTTCTACGAACACGCCGGGCAGCATGAAGCGCCATCACACCGACGTTTCGGTGTGCTCGTCTGGCTCTTCGTCGTCTTGCTGCTCCAGCACCGGTTCGGTTTCGGCAGTCGGAGTTATGGGCGCTGCTGGCTCCACAGTGAATGCTGCCATCGTAACTACACCAGCTGTGGTCAGTAGCAGCGGCGGTGCTGTGATTACGCAGAAATTGAGCAGGACAATACCATCGGATAAGGTTAGTGAAATTAATAAATACATACACGTGTATATCTATAACCATATATTTGTATTTTTATTTTATTTTTAACCGACTTCCAAAAAAGGAAGGGTTATCAGTTCGTGGGAATATTTTTTTTTTTTTATTTTTATTTTTTTTTATGTATGTTACCGCATAACTTTGGACCACGTCAACCGATTTCGATAATTCTTGCATCGGAAAGGTAGTGTCTCAGAGGTGGTCCCATTCTAATCTGGTTGAGATCCGATCAGTGGATCATGAGATATATATATATATATATTTTTTTTATATAGGAGTTGAAGTCGGTTTTTTTTTTGCTAAAAATTACTTGTTTTATTTTAAGTTACTCCTTAACTTATACAGGGTCGGAGAATTATTTGGCCCAACTAAGAAGTAATAAAGAAGTTGGTGTCTATCTTTAATTATTATTCTATTTTTTGTATGTTTATAGCAAATATGCACATAGCAAAAAAATTACAATATTTTGTAAGCCTAAAACAAATAATTCCCAGCACAGTTAAAATTCTAGATTCCATCAAAATTATGTCCCAAATATGTAAGTAATAGTCTGCTTTTAGGCGTTCAACGGCGTATCTTTGAATGCCTGCTGGTATTTTCGAAATTCTCTTTTTGCTTGTTTTTTTTTATTTGGTTTTTGTTGTTTTTTTTCTTATACATAGATACATGTTTTCGCATTTACCTTGTCCTGTTTATCGCTCAGTGCTTTTATTGATTTTTATTTCTCCTTGCAATGCAATGGGAGGATGTTTCAATGTTAACGCTGTGAGATTTTAGGCGCATGCAAAAAGAAATTCAGGGCCAACAGCGCAGCGCGTATTGGCCTTCAAAAAATTGCTGGTAACAAGCTGTGTAAGGGGTTGTCAGGGCTGTGGGTGCAATGCAGACTGTATTACGTACATACATATGTACATACATACACACATACATACATACATACAAATGTACGTACTAATTCCTGCATATGGTTGTATGAATGTGTGTTTGACATTGTGTGGGGTTTAATGCAAAGGTCACAGTGTACACGCTTACGAACAAACGAACAAACATCCATAGAAAAGGTCTCAGGGTCGAAAACTTTGAAATTCGTTAACGTGAATTAACGATTACGACAGCTTCTTAAAATAAGTAAGTGCTGATAAAAAAGTAAACCAAAAAACGATATCGACATATGTACACTTGTATCTGGCACCTTTATTGATGCTGGGAAATTTGCTACAATCACACCTACATACGTATCTTCAAAAATGGTAATAAGAGTGATACATACAGTCGTTTAAATTACAAAACTGCGTATCAAGAAAATGCAAAACCTAGTATGTGCGGTTGCCCAAATTTTATAGGCGAGAGTAAAACTTGTTTTATTTCAATCACTTTTCACTAATTATCTCTTCTTCTTGTTTCTAAGTATCGATATTTTAGTATGAATGGATAAGAGCTTGATGCCAGGAGCTTCCGGTGAGCAAATATGTTTTTTGGCACAGATGTCAGTTACGAGGTTTTGCAGAACCACGTTACGCGGTTTTGTGTACGTTCTACTATTTCGAACCTAGCAGTTTTCAATGAGTACTGTATTTCTTCATTGCAAAAGGGTCATCAGTTTGACTAAATTTATACCGATTTCTCAAAACCATTGGATAAAGTGTCCCATAATATGCTTATCCAAAAGTTATCTCTGTTTGGTCATCATTCTTGTATTATTAACTGGTTTAAGTCCTATCTGTATAATAGACAATGTGTTATGATGCTAGATAACGTCTCGTCGGAACCTTTCATGTTGTTGTTGTTGTAGCAGCATACAAGTTCCCCAAAGGATTTTTGGAGAGTGTTGCTGGAGTGACAGTCCTTGGCCAGATATAAATCTGGGTCGTTCCGGTTACGTAGACCCGACTGTAGTGGGAACGTCGGTACCTTTCATAGCTAAATCTGGTGTCCCTCAAGGGAGCATTCGACAGTGGTTCGGATAGCAGATCTAGCTGGATGAAAGACAAAATTTTATTTGTTTTTAAAATACTTAATGGTGCTTGGAATGCATTCCTGACAATACATTCAAATAGAAATTGCATTTATTAAAGCAATAAATATATGGAAACCAAAATAAAAGTAAGTCGACGCCGTCTATTTGAGAACGCTATTTTAAAAAACTTAAATTTAATTTAAAAGATTGCTCATAGCACTCGCAAATAGTTGCATAGTTGCAAATTGTCCTTATAAACCAAAAATTACACTTATTTCGCCATACATTCAGAGGTCTTAACGCAACTTATGTCTGCATTGGTATAAGTAAATTTATACTGAAAATTCGTCGTTTCGCTAAGTTAAAAAATAAATTAATGAGTGGGAAAAGTAAAAGCCGCTGAAGGCTGTTATAAAACCACTTGAATATTATGCTTTACATCTTCTGAAATGCAGAGGGTAAGTTCGATCACCATGTCTAACCAACCAATTGGCTTAGATATTTACATTTTAGTGACGGTATTTCAAATCTCAAAATTCAAAAGTAATTATCAGCAGGAATTTATACTATTGTAAACTTTATATGACAACTACATATATAAGAGTTTTTAGAGTAGCGGATCAGTGGCGGATCCACGAAGGACCGGGACGGGGGGTTTAGGGGTTAAAACCCTCCCTTAATTCGAAGAGAAATAGTTAAGTAATATCGGTTTAGAAAAAGGGTTCTTGAGAAAAAAGGATGCGAAATAAAGTGTTAAAGCACGAAATTTTAGCATACACTAAGTTTTTTGCTTTATTAATAAAACATGTTGATACAACTGGATCACAAATTTAAATTTTGTTTTTGTTCTCCAGACGCCACTATCCAGTTTGTATGTAGAATCGCTCTGACCCCTAAAATTGAGTTAACTTTTTTCTTTGTGGATACGTTTTCGAAATATTTGAAATTTACCGTTATTCAGTTTAAAAACAAAAGAGTGGGTCCACTTAATCACCTATATCTTACGAACCAATTGTGAAATCGTAATACGTGATACGGCAATTGAAAGCAAATAAAATTCTCCATATATACATCTCTTTTCGATAGCCCTTATAAGTTCTGATAAATTAATTCATCATTCTAGAATCTAGATTTTTTGATTTTTTGATGAAAAAATTCAAATTTTAACAGAGACAAAATTGAAAAAGAATTTTTTGTATGAATCCAGCTGTACCCTGCCACGCTTTGCTGTGGCATATCCCTGTTACATTAATGATAAAAAATTAACGAAACAAAGCATACGTTTCATATAGGTTTAATTTTGCAATTCTTGTGTCTACCACACTTTTCCAAAGAGTGAACTTCAGCTTTATTGATTGTGAACTGAAATCTCTTAAATTGAAATGGTGTATCGGTTGAAATCATGGGAATTCTTCCCCTTTGAAGGGCCACGTTAAAATCTTTGCTTCCACTACGTTCTTCAACAATTTCCTAACTTCGAGTCGCGTGCCGTTGTAGAGTTTTGGCTGTTAAATATTCCGCGATATGATGTTTGGCGCACTTATTTTTAGTTTCAGTATGTGGGGTCTTCCCGGGAAGATCAATCGAGTTCAAAAATTCCGTTGGATAATTAACTGCTTCTTTTTTTCACAACGATGTTTATTGACGTACATATATGAGTTGGTAGACAACCTTATTCTTCGTGGCACGAATAACTCGTTCACTGAGCCAATCGTGATTTCTATAATTAATTTGAATATTAAGAAGCGTTCGATCAGCCCTCCTTTCGATCTTTTCTAAGTTACATAAGTTATGAGGCAATCAAATTCGTCCTGATCTCTCATCGCCTTCCAATAGCTAGTAATTGTCCCGAAAATACCTCGGCTGTTAGATCGTTCTGTAGCTGGACACACACATACGTAGTCAACTCCAATCTATGTTCGTGTTGCTACAATGTTGAATATTTCAGGCAAGCATTTATCTCGCCTGCTGGTGGCGATCGAAAAATTACAGGCAATATTTGCGTAAAATCTCCTGCGAGCAATGCATTCCCGAATGGTTGAACGGTTCATTGCATATCTCGCATCGATCGATCAAGGACTTCAAGCGATTTTTTACCATTAACGCGAAGAAAAACATGAGACAAACCACAATTCGCCTAAATTCTTTGTTTTTTGCTTTTAATTGGTGAGAACGCCAGAAACTTGTCGCAGAATTCCACAGGCAAACATCGATGGCCTACCAACTGTCATTTTGACGAGCAATATGATTGCAAGTTTTTGTGTGTGGGCGCTTTGATGTCTTGGAATGACGCCACCAGACAACATTCTCTCAATTTCGGTGTTTAAAAACATTTAAATCTTTAAAAAAATTTGCTGAATAATTTCCTAAAACTTGATCATAAATAATCCAGTAGGGAACAGATTTTTATTTTGATTTAATATCGAAAATCATCGATGTTACCACCAGCACGCCTGCAATAGATGTCAAGCAATAAGCGCTGACATATATTGCAGCCCATGAGAAATAGGCGGTCTCCATTGGAAATATATTTTGTGGCATGGTTATCACGACATCAGTGTTTTCCTGTGGAGACAGGGCCTTAGGTATATTGGCAAACTTAAAGCGTTACTCAAGAACGTTGAAAATATCGTGGCATTTACTAAATTCCTAGCAGCTAAATTCGGTTGGCGGTACAAGCGTTGCTCAGCGAAAAATAGAAAATAGAAATAGAAAAGAAATAATAGGCATGACACCACTGTGTTGTGTATGACACTGTATAACGATGGGTACTGTGGTGACACTCAAATGGCGCCATGTTCAAATCAGTACACTGCGCTATTGCGGTTGAGTTAGTGCGCTGACACCATAGGTGGCGCCGGCGCTATTGAGCTAGCGCCATAAAAATTGCGCTATCACCCATGTCTAACTCGTACCAACCCTACAAGAACAGTGATAGTCATTTGATTGATCATGTGATAATCACTGGTGATGGAGATCTCAATCAAGTACTTCTATCAACTTTTTAAGAGCAATATGAAAA